GTGGAGATTCGTCATGATGGAAGAGCAATAAATAGCATTCAAATAGATAAAATAAAATTTAACAACTCAGACTAAGGTATTTCAATCTAAGAATCTCTTCAAACATATCCTTTATAAAAGACTGAAAGTCTAGTTAAATGAATTTTTTCTGCATCTAAGGACACAAGAAGAACGTCATGACACGTCTGAGTGTAATTACAGATATCGACTAAATAAAATAAAAACAATAGAATAAATATTAAAAGGATAGAAAATGTTTATAAATATTCGGAACGACTCGCTAAAGGGGTAGCGAACTATTTTTTTAAAAAAAGCTAAGATAATTTAGCCAACTAGGATTACCTCGTCTTAGAGGGAGTAGCTTATTTTCAAGTATGTCGCGAGCATCGGTCCCTTGATCCATAAGATCTAGTTTCGTTATCACACCTATTGTGCGTAGTCCTTGGTTGTCTACTTCTTTAGCTATTTTAAGCGCGTCAGAATTGGCTAAATCCGAATTTGCAGGGCTGACTGCCAGTATTAGGCAACTCTCGGATGATATAAATTCCAGCAGCATGAAGCGTATTAAACTTTCTATATCCGGAGGCTGATCGCCCACAGGGACTTTCGTCAAGCCGGGAAGATCGATCAGAGTAAGATTGAGAACTATGAATATTTTAAAAGTGCTCGCGGCCTACCATTGGGAGAATAGACGCGAAGATTTATCGGGATATTAGATATCCCTTTATTCGTTCCGGTTATTCTATCCGTCTCTGTTTCAATCTCTTTCCGAACCTCAGCAAAATCAGTGAACTGTTTCCCTTTGCAATGAAGAAATTCAGCATACTCTAAAGATAAAAAGAGACATAAAATACCAGATTTTGAGTTAATCAATTGCAAAACTAAAGGCCTTCTTGTAACTATTCCACTGCCGCGTGGCAAAAAGTCACTAAAAAATATTAATTTTTATTCTAGGTACCGTCCAACAAAGTTTTCTAGAACGCTGCTTTTTCCTGCACTTTGGCTCCCAACAACAGCAATCTGAGGCAGGTCTAAATTCAAAGGGACACCAAGAGAAGAAAAAGCATCTTGTAATCTGTTGACTAAGGGAATGAGGTGACCCATCCCAGCATTTCCCGACATTTTGACGAATATCGCTGAAAATGCCGGGCTTAATGAGTTCACATTAGTGTACCATCAAGTTGGCGCACTTAAACCACTTGCTATCATCATA